GAATGCAGGCAGGCGGCCATTAGGCTCAGAGTGTAACAATGGCAAGGTGCTCTTGGACAATATTGTTTCTTCTCTCTGCCCTTTTCCTTCAGACAGAGCAGACAGGTATGGCCTTTGTTTTATTGTGGCTTTAATTCTGATTTCTGCTACTGCTGCTCTAAAAACACCAGTAATTTTGTACCTTGTATCATGTTTAGTTTGTAGCACAGGCTGACATCACTGAAAACTAACTGTTTGTTATTTCCCTTACATTTCTTCTGTTTATTTCATTTAGCTGAGTAAAAATGGCAGTAGGTTACTGATGCAATATGATTTTGAAGTACCATCATTGATACCAGGCTAGTATTTCATCTTTTCTTACCATTTTTAAGGAGTATCCCAGATATTAAAGAGAATTTAGTGCTATATTTCTAGTTGCTGCTAAAATAAAAATAGAAGTACTATGAAAGAGGCTGAGATGTATGCTTCTTATAGCTTTAAGAAGTTTGTGTTTCTGTATTAATCCTCTATGGTTTGTCAAAAATAAGGAGGAGCTGGGCAAGGAGGAAAAAGATGGTGACAGCTTAAGAAGGTCAAAACGGCCCTGGCAGCAGCAGAAATGCTCTGCCAGTTATGCAGGATGCACCGGAACCACTGCCTGGCAGAAATGTGCACCAGGATATCAGATAAGGCTTTAAAATGTAAAACACAGTCACGGAACTTTTCCTTTCTTCTTTTTTAATATCACATGCAAGCCTGTTGCTTACCAGGTATCCTTCAAAAGCATCTGTATGTATGTATTTCAGAATAATTTCATTAATGCTGTCACTTTTTCCACTTCTAATATTATTGATCATTTCAACCTTTGTGCCCAGCAGTGCTGGGCCCCCAAACACTGTATAAAATAAAACAAACCTCCACAAACAAAACCAAACCAAAACCCAAACAGTCCTGCCCCAATGCATTTACTCTCCTAGCCCAGAACTAACAAACACATGCTGACACACACAGCCGCATACTGTTTAATGTCAAAGGCAATAGGGTCCAGCATGGCAGCAGCTGTCTGGCTGGCAGGCAGATTGTGGGCATCATTGCAAAGAGAAGTTTTAAGATCTGATAACTCTCATGTCTTTGATCCCTCCTCTTTAATCAAATATAAAAGTTTATTGTGTCTTCCATGTAAAGGGTGGCATATGATATAGCTCTTAACTTTGAGCATTGCTGAGGGGTAGCTTTTATGTATTGTCCTTAAGAGAGATTTTGATTGAGAACTCAACTATGTCACGGTTTTGCTTCTCAGCAAAAATAATCCCTGTGAACTAAGACTGAAGGGCGTCAGTTTGGATCCATCATCATAAAGTAATACAAGTAATTTTCACTTCCACTGATGAGTCTGAAAGCCCCATGCAGTCTTACAAAATAGCCTCTGCCTTTATGGTAATACTTTTCCCCTTTCCCTGGCCATGCCACAGCAATGGTGCTCTGTGTGTCTGGTACAGGAGGAAAATGTGTTGGGAAGGACTTCAAATTCTCCTGGCCTGGGCGCAAGTCAGGCACACCCCAAAAGTAAAAGGTCACAGCTCCTCAGGTGAGTTTGTGCCAAGAAAGTAAGGCTTTTTCAGTATGTAAGTTTAAGAAGGCTGGGACCCTGACTCAGCCAATAGAATGTCCCTCTTAAAAAAGAAGGGGAAAGTACACAAGGAAATTAATCTAAGTACTTACGTCAGCATTTTGTCATACAATGTTCCAGTGTTTATATCAGCTGATGATGCAAACACCGTTATCAAGAGACAGAGACGTGCCAGTTCCCTACATTTGGAGGAGGTCCTCCAAGGCAACTTGGAAAGGGAATGCCTCGAAGAGAGATGTACGCATGAAGAAGCAAGAGAAGTATTCGAAAATGATGAAATGCTTGTAAGTATTTTGTTTTCCTGTGTGCATAATAAAAATTACTGTCTTGGTCCTTTACTATCGAATACAGCCTCACTGCCTGCTTCATTTGTTTGGGTTTCTCTCCATGAGAGATCTTTGAACTTTCCGCCTCAGCAGGATTAAAGCAGGTGTCTTCAATGGTTAAAATGGAAATGCAAAGGTCAGCTCTGATGTTTTTCAAGCCCCCTCCTAAAAATGATGTGTCCTGCACCTTATGTTGCAAAAGTCTATGTGACCACACATAGAAATACAGCTTCAGCAACCCTTAGGGACCAGGAGGGGCAAGAATGTGTTGGGATGGAGTGAAGCAAGGCACCAGTGAGTAGTGGGACCTACAGAAAGAAGCTCACTTGGTCAATAGCAAGTGCAAATACCTCCATTAAACGAAGCCCTCCTGACACATACAGCCGGATGCAGTGCTCTTTATTGGGAATCTGACCAGAGATTGTGTTTGCAAGGAAAGCAGAGGTGACGGCCGTAGGGCTGCCCATGGGCAGTTCCCGTGCTTTGGGGAAGGTTGTTGGGTGGGAGGCACAGGGCATGGGGAGAGGTGTCCCTCTGGGGAAAGTAGCAGCAGAGCTGGCTGCAGGACCCAGGGAAAAGCAGGACACTTGGTGCTGGTGACCAGATCTGGTGACCCACAGCTCTGCTCTGTGCTGATCCTTCTGCCTCCAGCAGCACCTGCCAAGCGGGATGGGATGGGATGGGATGGATGGGGTCACTTCCCAGGCCGCTGCACGCCAGAGAGACAATGGACAGCTGGTTTTTCCAGGAAGCTGTATTGCTGAAGGATTCAGTTGTTCCTCTCCTACCTACGAAGTTTCTTTTCCTTTATAGCTTCTTAAACAATACAACAAGCAGGATGCAAACCCCTCCCATCTCATTCAAATTTTGCTGGTAGGGCAGAATTTGTAGCTGTGCAGCTGTGTACATGTTAAACTACAGTATATATTCTCTGGTATCACGTTTTTGCTTTATCAAAATATTTATGGATGATGATATAATGTTTGAATTAAAATCTTTTTTTTTTTCTCCCTCAGAAAATGTTTTGGGATGCCTACTACGGTAAGCCAGACTCTTGGTTTCTCTCTGTAATAGCACTGTCACACTATGAACATTATAATTCAGTCCAGTGCTGGTTTTCCAGGAGTTTTTAGCAGTTTATTCTGCAAGGAACATCCAGTCACTATTAGTCATGTCTGTAGTAATGCAGGAGGGAAAGGTTTTGATGCGAATGGATTTAAAAAATAATAAATAAGAAAAAAATTCAAGACTGCAAAGTGAATAAAAGTTGAAAGTGAGCAGATGTTATCATAGTAAATAGGCTATTTCTTTTCTGAACTTAAGGCTGTTCTGAAATGACCTAGGACCTGAGAAAGTCTTCTTTGCTGATACAATAGAGCAGCACAGCTCTATCAGCAAAACCTTCCTAGTACAAACGTAGCATTTAAACCTGAGTGAGATAAAGAGGTATTAAAAGCTACTGGGCTGCCTGCAAACTCTGGCTGCTGGCATTACATCATCCATTGGCAGCTGTCAAGGCAAGAAACAAATCTGTAGAAGACCTACAATGCAGTGGTAACTCATCCCTCCCCTGTGGCATTTTCCCAGGTGGCAGAAGGTGCTCATCGAGCCCCTGCCAGCACAATGGTGTGTGTGAGGACAGCATCCGTGGCTACACCTGCACCTGTGCTGAGGGCTACGAGGGAGAGAACTGTGCTTTTGGTAAGGAATCACCCCCCTTCTAAGAAGTCCTATCTCCTCATGTCTTAGGGGGTCACTGTGAAACCGTATGCAGCTCTCTGACTACAGCCAGTTACCATATTTTAGGTTAAAGCCCACAGTTCTTGGCAGAGCAGGGGTGATGTGTGCTGATTGTCTACTAATATTTTATGGCTTCCTGAGGTTTTGCAGGCTGCCTCTTCCCCCTGAGCCTCCCTTCTCTGGGGTCCAAAGGTGGGTTCCAAAGACAGCCCATGCCACTGCCACCTGCACTCCCCAGCTGCTTCTCCTGCCGTGGTCCAGGCAGCATGTGGCCTGAAGAAGCAGTGTTGCAGTGCCAGAGTGGCTTGGAAGCCACCCCAGTGGCTCTGAGGCCACGCATACCCACAAGGCAACCCCTCCAGAGGGACTACAGAAAAACTGTGGAAATGTAAAAGGCATAAACAAAACCGGATATTTTCTGGCACGTAAAACACGCTGGGCCAGATCCTACATTTTCACATCTGCCAGGTTTTACTTTCCAGCCCTTACATCAGTAGTTCTGCAGGCTTGGAGGTCTCCTGGGGTGGGAGGCGCCCTGGCTGCTGCAAGGCAGGGTCATTTTCTGTGTAAGGGTGTGACTGTGAGCAGCTTCTGAGGGAGCACAGAAGATGACCCCACTTGGACCAGTGCTGGGAACTGGCTCTGCTCAGCAGGAGCCTTAGAAAGCCACATTATGTGAGGTTTGTTGCTACTTCTCTAGCTGTGAGCTAGATCATTAAATAGCTATTCCAGCCATTAAATGGCTGTTCCTCCTGTTGCTTTGTGCCGAAGCTGAAGCATTTGCTCAGCTATGGAAAGTTGACTGAGCATATTTCAAAGACAAGTAATACTCCCTTTCCTTTTTCTTGTCTTTGATAGCTGCTAAGTTTCTTAGCACATGCATGAGAAATAAGAGGAATGCATTTGATTTTGCTGCAAAGCAGAAAGCTTAAGCCTTCTTATTCCTCAAGCAATACCTGCCTTCCTCACATGCGCAACGGTTCCCTCTGTTGCAGATGCTTAGTGTTTTGTTTACGAGAGCAGAAAGAAAACCCACGGCATCCTTCCATGGGTTCACATAGAAGGCCTCGTCTGATCCTTAGCTAACACCCCCCAAAACTCAGAGGCACAGTCTGGTGCAAGGAGGTGCTGAGCCAGCACAGTTTGCAGACAGTTTGTGGATGCTGCCTCCAATTTCTTCTTAAACAATGAGGTGTGAAATACTACCAAGGCAGAGCCCCTGCCCATCTCCACACAAAGCATGTAAACATAAAATGCCAAGAAAAGAGTAGTCAAGCTATGCAAGAATACTCCAACTGAACGGTTCCCAATGTTTTCCCTGACTTGTTCCATTTAGCTAAAAATGAATGTCACCACCAACCGAAGGAAGGATGTCACCATTTCTGCTACCCAGGAATTAATTCCTACCATTGTTCCTGTGCTGATGGCTATGAGCTTGGGAAGGACAAAAAACAGTGCATTGCATTAGGTAGGTGTGAGCATGGAAGTACAGAGGGCACACGTGCAGTGCTGGGGTGGGCAGACTTCCATTGGGTGTCCAGATGTGATCAGCCTGCTTTGAGACTGAAGCAATGAGAATATTACAGACTTTAGAAACTGTGCAGAAGGATGAATGGCACCACTCAAATGCCAGAATAGCGGTAAGAGAAGCAATCTTTGATTTGAACATTTAAACATGGGTCCACAAAAACAGCTTGCATTATCCTACGTATCACTCACTGGGCCAGGTTTTCCACCCGGCAAAGAGTAACTCCGCTGAGGACCTGTCTGATCAGGAATGAGGCTCAATTGATTCTGATCAGGCACCTGATGGTGGGCAACATTTGCTGCCATATTCACTAGGTTGAAGCAGTAGCCCTCCTCATTTTTTCAGTCTTGTACTAGATTATCTCATGCAGTCTCATGCCCTTATTAACTAGGTCTACTAAAACCACAGTAGTAAACTTAGACCTGTCTCTATTTTAGCAAGTAGGACACGCATTAGTTGTCCTGAAATCATACAGCATGAGGTGTTGATTTTCTTTTTTAATTCATTTGCTAGATCAATGTGCATGTGGCAGACTTCAAGACAGTGATAATCGGATATGTGGAACCAGGAAGAAAAGTGATGAGCCGTTTCCCTGGCAGGTATTTCTAGCAATTCATGAATCCCATCACTCAGCCTCACATGGACAGTGCTATCTGTGGTCTGTTTGCATTTTCTTAGGTCCTGCTGTTAAACTCGGAAGGGAAGGGCTTCTGTGGAGGAGTACTGCTAAGAAGTAACTTTGTGTTGACTACAGCAGAATGTGCCCTTCTGCACAGCCATTTTGAAGTCAGGGTTGGCACTGGTAGGTGATCCAACACATTTTCTCTTGTTGCAGCACATTTTAGTATTGACAACCTCAATTTAAAAAAAGCTTACTAAAATTTTTGCTGTATAAAAATATTGCTAAATGGGATGACAGCAGATTTGTTTCCTTTAAGTAACTCAGTTAAGTATCTTGGGCTAGAACTACAGCTGCTCCATACCCCCTACAAGTCAAGCAGAGAGGCAACTGCCTCTTGAATGCAATTCAGAACTCAGCACGTAGGGATAAACTAAACCAGGGCGATTGAGAGGTGGCTTTTATTTCATGCCAGAATTTACTTCTCTTGTTGGGCTTTTGTCCTTGCTGCTGAAATTATGCATGCTTCTACACAGCATTCAAAAGCTGTCAGTGTATCATCCCTAGTTTACTGCAGTGGTTTCAAGAAACAGTGCCTTTAGTTTCTCTACTACACGTATTTCTTAGTCAGTCTGCATGCAGTCTTCAGGTCTCTCATAAGTTATTCCTGAGTGAAATGTCATTGCTTCACAGGGCCTAATGGAACAGAGAAGATAACGCTAGTTCGTGAGAAACATGTACACATCCGCTATGATGAAGACACAGGCGAGAACGACATTGCATTACTACAACTCCAAGAGCATGTTGAGTGCAACAGCCACCAGCTTCCTGTATGCGCCCCTGAAAGAGACTTTGCAGAGCATGTTTTAATTCCAAAACTGCCTGGTACAGTCAGTGGCTGGAGAATGGAAGGTGATGAACTTCACAGTGATAATTTTTTTTCCTGCTGAGGACTGCAAACAAACACTTAACATAAGCCTCACAAACAGGCAGTTTTGTGGACACCTCCAGGAGGCTGTCGACAAACAACTGGCTGGAGGAAGTTTTTTAGTTACCAAATATAAGGACACTTGGTTTCTGACTGGTATCCTGGGACCTTGGCCACTGGAAGACACTGACTGGGAAACATTTCTATTCACTAACACAGCAAGGTACATGATATGGTTTAAACAAAAGATGAACTAAGACACAAACACAACCAACTCTCCAGGACCACACCCCTACCACTCACTGCAAGGAAACATTTGGATGCAGCCAGTATGCCCATTTGACTCTTTATCATGATTTGCAGCAATGGAAGTTGCAGTGACGATATGTACGTAACTCCAATTCACAGAGAAAAGTCCGTCTGTCCTTCTTCCTATTGCTGACACAGCGGACTGTGAAAGTCATCATGCAGTAAACCTAGTTATTTTACTAAAAACTGACTCAAGTTTCCTAGAACCGTTCATCTTAAAACTCAAAAAGTATTGATGTTTTTCTGGGATTTTAAACGTTGCTAGAAGAAAATGAGTCTCTTTAATTCCTGTTACCCTGAGGTTTGATTCAGCAAATTCAATGTCAGCATCCACGCAAGTAAAACTTATGAAGAACAGGAGAAGTCCAAGCCTTTAAATGCCTGTGTTGATGTACCATCATACATGGTACCTGTGCTTTCCCTTATGAATCAAGTCCATGTCAGTTAGAGGGTAAAATAAAGCCCAACTCTCATAGAGGGGAAAAAATGTTTTATTTCATTTAAAAATAATTTAAAAGACCTGAAACTACCATCCCATCGCTACGGACAAAGTTACATTGTACCACCCCCAAACAAACAAACAAAACCCTCAAGGCAGTAACGCTTCAGATAATGGATCCAGTGGCAATGTTGACCCCAGAAGCAGAAAAAACAAAAGTATGGATAAGTTACTTAGACAAACTTTTGTTCATCATAACAAAAATTAAACAAAATATTACCAGAATTAAAATAAAAACAACCAACAAACCCATCTGTGGGCACCTACAGACAAAAAAAAAAAATCCCACATCTACCTGAACCCGTAAGTATCACTGACACAGTAAAGCTTTTGGTGTCAAGCACATCTCTAGTGCTTAAAGAAAGCTTGAAGAAAGTACTTAATACCAGGAAGATTATTGAAGAGGCTTAAAAAAAAAAAAAAAAAAAAAAAAAAAGGAAACCAGGAAAGAAAATACGATTTCCATTCTAAAGAATGGATTAACATAAGTAAAAAAGGATGATACTTCTCCTCTCTGAAAGATAAATGCAGAAATAGTAACACAAAGTACTTTATAAAAGCTTTTAAGTAGTTTGGAAGGAATTTGGAATGCTTTGATTTTTTTACTCATCAAATACTTTGAATTACCAGAAAGCCTGCAGAAACTATTATTAAAAAGTTAGCATTTCACTTCAATGCACTTTGTAACACTGGCAGCCTTGGTCATTCTGGGAAAGGAGCCACAAAGAGTTCCTGGTATTCCAGTCCTGGACATGAACCAGGTCATTTGCAGTGTTCTCAGGGTGATTAGGAGCAGCTCTACTGGCCAAGCCAAGTATCTGAAAAGTACTTGCACGAGTAAGACGCAATACTCAACACACTGTTGACAATGGAGGAAATGGGTTCTGCTTACTGACCACAAGCTTTTGATGCTGATGAGATATATAGCCTTTAATGTGACCCTAGCAGAAGGAAAAAAAAGACAGCTTTAGTACTGGAAGCTAGTAACACAATGCCTACAACCTCCACTGTCTCCAGACTATGTCAAAGCTAGGTTTGTATACTCAACCACCACTGCACTACTGTACTTAGTATCTGTAAGAATCTGATTTACCAGAACCATAACCGTGTTTGCGCATTAACAGTGCTATCAGCCTGAGAGCCTGTTCCCAGAGCCCCCTACTGGTCTGCTGACACTTTCTTGAAGAGAGCTTTACAGAAGTGTTTCTAATTTACTCTTGCTCACTTTAAAATGAGGATTTTAATTAATCGCACAGTGCATATGTGATGATATGGTACTTCCTTTTCAGACATAGTGTTATATCACTGAAAGAAATCTTTCAGTGACCTAATCCCACCCTGTGTTACTCCTCAACCACACCAAATAATCTATTTCAGAAACAGGCAAGTGGTTCATTTTCCTG